GGAAGTTACTTACTTCCGGGTTCGCCGACCAACCGGTTCGCAGGGGCCGCCGCAAACCGGTTGAAACTCACCCCTGATCTAACGCAAACTATCTTTGCCAAGACATCCCTAGACAAAGAAGAAGTACTAATTCCACGTCTATTTCTGGAGGCGGTCAAGAGTCAGTGAGCTCAATCTGCCACATTCTCAAATCCTGAGGTAAATGACAGGAAGCTCTATAATATGGAGCAGACCTTTTCCCAGGCTCTCCAGGTTCCTACGTTTGACACCCCTGTCGCAGCCCTATCTTCCTCAGCAGCGGTAGTGGCAGGAGATGTAGCGGACAAGCTGAAGCCTGAGAATAAGAAAGCGGAACTCATCATCAGGAAGGGTTTTCAGGCTTCAGCTTGGACCATTAAGGCAGCAGCCACAGCTTCCTTTTTCAATAGGACTACCTTGTTGTGGTTGCAGCAATTACAGGAGCGCACATCCCCGGAGGACGCCCGCATAATGAAAGATCTCATTAAGATCATTGCGGCGTCCCAATATTCTGCGGATGCCACTCTTGATCCTGTTAAATTTGCTTCTCGAGCTTTGTCTGCCTCTGTAGCCTCAAGACGTCTCCTGTGGCTAAAAAAACTGGCAGGTTGATAATGTCGAAGTTTCACGTAACATCAGCACCATATGCTGGCGGAAACCTCTTTGGCGAATCCTTGGATCCCATTTTGGTTGAGAACAAGGAGAAAAAGAAAGTTCTCCCATCTGTGACTAAACACCAAGAGACCCGCCCTGTGCTGTATCGCAGATGACATTTCTTCTGTCCCTCTGAGTCCGAATTCCAACAAAACAGGTATTGGGGCTTCAGGGGGAATAGATACGTGGACTTGATCCAACTGTCAGTGTCTCCACCTTGGAAGATCCCCAAGGAAGAGATTTGCTTGTGCCAGGGGGTATTAATTCACCCAGAGCCTTAATGGCTAAAACTAACCGCCTGGCACTTGAAAGGGACATTTTGAGTACGGCCAAGGTTTCTAATAGGGTCATTTCCACTTTGGAAGCAGCCAGGAGGCCATCGACCACTAGAATATATAATGTGACGTGGTCGGTGTTTGTGAAGTGGTGCGAAGTGGCATCCATTGCTGCAGAGGACACTTTGGTGCCTCAAGTTTTAGGTATTTTGCCAGAAGGGTTAGACAAGGGTCTAGCATTCAACACCTTACGACGCCAAACGGCAGCGCTGTCCACTATCCTGCCAGGCGAAGGTCAGGTCCCCTTATCTCATCTTCCTTTAGTTAGGAGATTTTTGAAAGGGGCGGCCAATCTTGCCCACCCCCACCCCCGCCGGTTATTCACAGGTTTCCTACATGGGACTTGCCTTTGGTTCTACAGCCTATGACGGACATTCCCTTTGAACCGATTTGCTCGGTCTCCCTTCAGCTTCTAACTCTGAAAGTGACATTTTTAATTGCTATAACATCGGCTAGACACATTTCCGAGCTTGGGCGCTATCTTTCCGTAACAATTTATGTATTTTCCACCAGGATAGGGTAACCTTGTGATAAAATCCTGCCTTCCTACCCAAAATTAATACTCCGTTTCATAGGGGACAGGTGATAGTGTTGCCCAATTTTTGTCCAGCTCCGTCTCACACTAGGGAGCATCTCTGGCACAGGCTGGATGTCCAGCTGGATGTCCGTAGGGCACTAAGAATTTATCTTAAGCGAAGGGCTGCGTTTCGTAAGTCGGAAGCTCTTCTGGTGTCATTTCAACCATCCACGCAGGNTAACCAATATCTTCACCCTACTTTAAGGATGGATAAAGCAATCCAACTCATATTCTTGGATAAAGC